TCAAAAACTGAGAAAATACACCTCTTGAAAAAATATATTCAGTCCTCGCTCACTTCATAAAATTTAACCACCTGGCTGGCAGCAATCCCCAATTAATTTTCAACAAGGGTGACTCTGAAAATATTAATTCAAATAAGGAATGCTTATTTAATTTTACATTTCCACAGAAAGCTCCATTTCGATAAAGCTATAGTAACAAAATTAATTTATACAAAATTATACATATTATGACTAGCGCTAGTAACAATATATAATGAAATGCTGCATAACTTATTTTGATCAGTAAAAATTGGATTTTAAATTTGAGAAATAATACATAAAAATAAATATTTGGAATAAAATGGAAAAAGCTGGAGAACATTGTAGCTCCATGTCTTATATTCAAGCCACTCAACTGTAGTAAAAAAGTAGACAATAGACAATAGACAATAGAGACAATTTATTCATCGTTCAGTAATTACAAAATTACAATAGATTTCGTCAAACAGAATATATAAATAAAGGTTACTTTTTAAAATCTAGGTCCTTGTTTTTGAATTTAACATCAAAAAAATCATCTATTTTGTACATTGGATTGATTTTACACCACTTTAACAGTTTGTCAGAGAAAACATTTAAAGGCAAAGAGCTGAAATCAACAGGAAACTTATTAAATATTTTAAGACCCAAGTAGGTATGGTAATTCTGAGTTCTTGACAGCCTAACTCTATCTAAATCTAATGTACCTCTATTTCTTGTTTGGTAACTATGGACACTATCTCTAATTACATATTTGTGGTAGTTTTTTTTAACAAAAATAGACACTTCATATATGTACAGACTAATTACAGTTAATATATCTAATTTTACAAACAATGGCTTACAATGGTCTCGTTTTCTACTACCAGTCACAATCCTTATCGCCTTCTTTTGTACTTTCAAAACATCTGTAATTCCTACTCCATTTCCCCAAATAACAATGCCATATCTAATAATGCTTTCAAAGAATGCAAAGTAGGCTAATTTTAGATAAGTGTCAGTTACATGATTTCTTAAATTACTAAGTAGGCAAACCACTCTGGATAATCGAGCACAAATAGAGTCTATATGCTGCTGCCAAGATAACCTACTATCAATGTGTATACCCAGTAATTTTACATAGTTATAGCTAACATTATCATGAGTAGAGATTAATAAACAATCAGTTTTGTCGGTGTTCAGCTTTAAACCATTAGAGGTAAACCATTTTGTTGCTTCATTTAGAGCCTGTTCGTTTAAACATTGCAATTTTTCTAAATCTAAATGACTACTGAACAAAGTGGTGTCGTCAGCATAAATACAAACACTACTACTACTAGGAACATTGAAAGACAAATCATTCATCAAAATTAAAAATAAAATAGGCCCCATTATCGACCCTTGTGGGACTCCATATTTGACCTCAGTGACCTGCGATCTCTGACTATTTACTTCTACTACCTGTTTTCTATCTTTAAGGTAAGACACAAACATATTTAATTCACTGTCATGAAAACCGTAATGAGATAGTTTGTCCAAGAGGATACTATGTTGAACACAATCAAAAGCTTTACTCAGATCACATAATGTGATCTGAGCAAAAAACCTATCTTCTAAAGCATTTAAGATCTTATTTACAATACTATCTACAGCCAGTGTTGATGACAGACCTAGCCTATATGCAAATTGACTACTGCTAAACAAGTTGAGACATTCAAAGTAGGTACATACCTGCTTTTTTAAAATTTTTTCCAATATCTTAGCCATTGTAGGGATGCAGGATATAGGGCGGTAACTACTGGGTAAATTTTTCTCCCCTTTTTTATATACTGGAACTACCCTGGAGAGTTTCATAAAGGAGGGAAAAACACCATCTTCAAGACATCTATTAATACAAAAGGTAAGTGGACTTAAAATTAACATAATCACAGCCTTAATTAAATTACTATTTAAACCATATATATCTCTTGTTTGAGAATTTTTTAAAGACAAAGCCACACTTAAGACCTCACTTTCAGACACTTTGGAAAGTTTAAAATTTAAATCAGGACAAGGACTTTTTTTCACCATCAGATTAGCACTCAACTCGGACACTTCGATGTTTTCACAGATATCTTCAACCACTGCAGAGAAGTAGGTACTGTAGTCGTCTGGAGACACATCAGCCATGTTCTTCTGCGTTGACCTCCCAGCTGCTGAATTTATCACCGACCATGCCGTTTTACACTTGTTGGCAGACATGTCAATAAGTTCTTCATTCTTCTTCTTCTTAGCATCACAAAGAGCGGTGCGGTATCTGCCCCTCAGAGTCTTGGATAAGGTTAGGAAATTTATGTCCCCACTGGTCTTATACAAGTCATGATAAAATATTATCAACTTTTTCATTTCAGCTAGTTCGGGTGTATACCATTTACCTGGTTCCTTCTTCTTTCTTGTGGATCCTTGTAGTTTTGTTTTAGTCAGGGGGAAACATAAATTAAAATTTGATAAAAAACAGTCCCAGAAGAGGTCAAAGCATTCTTCAGTGGATAAACACGGGTCATAGACGAAATTCCAGCATACCTGGCTCAGGTTATTGCAAAAGTTGTCCATCTTCGCAGTCGTTATTCTTCTGGTATACAAAATATCAGGAGCCAGCAAGATGTTCTCTATTGAAGCTAGACTTTCAAAAATAATAGCATCATGATCACCGAGCAGAGGTTTAACAACTTTTATAGTAAAATCTGTGGATGAAATATTGGTAAGTAAGTTGTCCAAACAAGCAGAACCCCTCGTCGGTAAAGTATTGGCACAATAAACATTGAACTGACGCAATGTGTTTTTAAAACTTGTTACACTAGGCCTGGTAGTAGTTACATCAAATTCTGCATTAAAGTCACCACATATTATTAATTTAACCATCTTACCCCTACTTATAAGGAAAATTAGCATTTCTTCAAGCAACTGCAGAAACCGATCCGTCTTACCATTTGGAGACCGATAGACAGACACCACAATAGCATTAAAATATTTAATTTAATTAGAAATTTAGGTTTTATTTCATAACATACTGTCTCTACTTCATATACACTTTTTATATGTTCCGTAATATGTTTGTCAGTAACCTCCAACCCTAGTCTAGAGCCCTCCGAGTGTCACGCGTCATAAAAACGACGCACAACACACTTTGTGTAGGGTCACGCGTCGCTTTTAAGACGCACAGACATCGTTTACGGCGAAGGCTCTATGACTGACTGAATCGGATTGAACTGGATCGAGTTAGGTATCGTTCTTTCCGTAATATTCTAAGCTTTCTCCAGAGGTCTGTCTCTAAGCGCTAATCATTTTAGTTCCGAAAATATTGTAGCAGACAGCTGACGTGCGTGTATTTGTAAACAGCTAGGTTCCCCCGGACCGATGACTGATGTGTTTTATTACGTTTATCATTGTTTTAGTGTTAAAAATCAAAAGTAGTGATATACGTGGTGCATTATAAGAAGATTTAAGTGGTTTTGAAGTGCTGGTTGATGATCCTGAAGAAGTAGGTAGTGATATTGATGTAAATTATCAGCCAGATTCCTAGCTATGGTTAGGCTATGCATTCTTAGCTAAACGCTATGTACTGAAATCCGTTTTTCGCTCATAACTTATTTATTTGATAACTTACCTCGCTATATGATTATATATTTGTAATCCTCATTAAATTTAGAACAAAGTGGCTATTTTCAAATATTTATAGGCCTATAATTTATACAATTTCATTAAGCGCGAACTTATTTTTTTTTTGAAAATTTTCGAAATTATATTTTTTTTTACCTAAAATTTTTTTTTTTGAAAAAATGTTCCTTATGTTTTATATATAATATTGAAGCCCATGATTTTCCAAACAAAATGGTATATAGAACATTAGAATTAACATTGTTTTAAGCTTCTCAGATCCGTTTTAATAAAACCTTGCAAAGGGGCCAAAAATAGGTGGACATTAAGGCCTAAACTATGGACACTCGGAGGGCTAGAGATGAAAAACCAATCATATTTTTCCGCCACTTTAAGAGATGATGTAGATTTAGCAGTTCCCAATACAACATTTGGTGATTCCACACTTTTTGGCTTAGGGTGAGAAGTCACATTGCTTTCATTATTTTCTTTGTTATTATTAGTTCTTCTCCACACATTAGTATGTCTGTGTCTTCTGTTCTTAACCTCCTTCCATACGTTTCCATCATAATGTTCAATATTTACATTCAATCTGTCATCTGCTGACATCGTCATCAAGTTAGAGTTAGTCACATCCGATTGGTCGTCTTCCATATCCCCGTCCACCGAGAGCGAAAATGTATCCCGGTTTAGGTGGTCCTTGGGCAAAGCCCTCTGATTATCTTTTTTCAATGGTGAAGTGGAGTTAGAGATTTCAGAACCAACAGACTGAACAGACTCATTCTTACTCCCTGCTGTCGGTCTGTTCTTCCTACTGGTCTGTGCATGCACGTTTGAAACTTTATGTGCAGACGAATTTCTTGACTTCGAAGTTTCATGTTCGAATGCTGATTCAGCCCCATTATTACACCTAGGAATAGCCGTCAACAAATTATTCAGTTTATCATTAATACTTATATTGTCACAGACAAGTCTATCTACGGTACACATTAGGTTAGTCATTAATTTAACTGAACTAATGCTATTTCTGGGATCCTTTATATTAGAAACCATAGCTTTCAAGTCCTCTAGGCACGTAACACAAAACCAATGTGAATGTGAATCTAATTTAGTAATCATGTCATATTGTTCATCAGATATTGAAACACAACTAATGTGATTCCATTTACCACAAAATCCTTCACACTGGATGCACTTTTCCTCAGATTTAAACTCCAAATTACACGTACCACAAAACTCATCGTCTTCTCCAGCCACCATCTTGACTTTTTAGTACAGACGATACTCGTCACAGTCCGCCAGTTGAGTGGAGTGGAGTGAGAGTGTCAATGACAGGCGATTGAAGTTGTTTTGTTTGTTGTTATTAATGTTTTGTCAATCATAACATTAAATTAGTTAATGTTTTGTTACTTATTTTAGTGGACTTGCGCTTGCGTGGTTTGGAACCTTAAAAAAAGTTTCTCGTAGGGAAGGAGTGTTTTACGATTGAATTAGGATAGAAGCTGTAATTTTCTGTTCGATAATAAGTTACTTTGTTAGAATTCACCTGGTAATCAAATCACCTATCTTTATTGGCCAAGGTGCCTGGCATGTCTGTTGAAAGGAAACGTTTTGAATGCTCGGCATTACCAAAAGGATGGCAAAGAGAGGAAGTTTTGAGAAAAAACGGTCTTTCTGCTGGAAAGGTTGATGTATATTATTACAGGCAAGTATACACAAGAAAAAACATTGTAGGCCTACCGGTATTTAGTCACTAACTTTTACAGTCAGCTTAAAGAGTGTGCATGTTGGCCTTTTACTGAGTGATATGATTTCCATAGTTGTACTAGTTGTGAGAATATCTCATAAAAAAAAGAATACCAGTGCATTAATTTGACTTCCTTCCCTTCTGCCCCATGTAAAATATTGCCTACCGGTATGTAAACTTAACTTACTTTGCCCCTATTTTCCTGTAAAAATTCTAAAAAGTAGGCTGGGCATGCCTAGCAGGCTGCACTTTACTTGACGTCCTACACTCATTCGATTGTTTTTTTTTTCGATTCGATATTTTCATTCGATTGTTTCATTCGATATACCGTTTCCTTGGTTAGTTAGGTTAGGTTAACCTTACCTAACTAACCAAACGATATATCGAATGAAGCAATCGATATATCGATCGATATTTTCATTCGAATGAGTGTAGGACGTCAAGTAAAGTGCAGCCGCCTAGCCTAGTCAGAGAGTAAGGAATCCCTGAATCGCTACCTAAGCCTAACTTATTTTAGCTAAATAGGTAGGAAATGTTTTGGAGGCCACAGCCAGGAGATGGTAGGCTACTTAAGTTATGTAACTTAAGGACTATACATGTTTAAATATTATAGGCCTATAGGCCAGGCCTTACAAGATAGGCCTACTCAAACACATGTTTTCTTCCAATCCCAACGAAGTAGGTAAATAGTGTAATATGGATAAATCATTGTAAGCTAAGTATCCCCACTAAGAGTCTTAGGCCTACCTAGTTAATCTGCCAAGCATTTGAAAATTCTTTGTTTTACGTTATGAGTTTTAAAAATTGAAAATATGAAAATACAGCCTAATATTAACTTAAATATCAGAGGGTAGGCCTAGGCTAGGCTATGTCAAATAACTTGAACTTAAAATCTTAAGGGTCTAAGTTACTGCGAGTGTTAAACATAGGCATAGGCCTATATGTGTTAATTGAATTGGTAGATAACTTAAATAGGCCTACCTGCTTATGTATTTGTGTTAAGTATTTAAATTAGCTTATGAATGCTGGTGGCGGTCTTGGGACTTTTAAACAAACTAAATGGATTTCGGTCAGTTGTGGGAACAGTAAAGGGGGTTTGCTTGTGTTTGCAGCCCTGATGGGAGGAAGGTCCGGAGTAAACCCCAGCTTGCTCGTTGTCTCGGAGATGTCATTGATTACGGATCATTTGATTTTCGCTCTGGAAAAGTCAATAACCTTCTATTGCGTAAGCAGCGGAAACAGAGGTCTACCCAAGTAGAATACAGGTAATTCCTGTTCCATCCATCTTTCTCTCTTTTTATGAAAGTTCTTAAGTAATTTTTTTCTAATTGAGCTCTATAAAGGGTCAGTTTTCAAATTAATTTTACCTACCATTACAAAATATAGGCAAGGCTTTATAAGTTTAGTCGCTTTTCTTTTGATTAAAATTTAATGTAAAATGTAAGGTGGGAAGAGGAGTTATAATTTAATCATAGGCTATTAAACTAGGCTAGATACATAGGCCTAATACAGGTATAGTTCACCTAGGCAGTCTAAGTTATATGTTAAAGCTACAAATAATGATACTTAACTTAGACCTATCTAGGCTACTGTGAATTAAGTTAGTCCTCGTCTTAGATTTTTTAAACAGTAGGGGTCTGTGAGTGGGCCAGACTTATTTTTATTCGTGGTCAAGTCAAGTCAGGTAAAACATTTTGAAGATGTTAGGTCACTAAGTTACATTTATCTTGGAAAGTGTTAGTTTATACAAATATTAATTAATTGGTTATAACTTTGGCTACCACTGTTGGCATTTTACAATATTGTTCATCATCTCTCACAATCGCTGTAAAAAGAGTCTCTATCGCCTATGATTTGGGGAAATTGCAAACATCTTCGTTGGTTCCGGCACGTGACATCACCATTTCACGTGCGATCCTAGGTAGATCGTCAATTTTTAATGGCACAACTTAAGGCACGCTTTCTGTGATCTCGTAAGTAAGAGCTCAAAAATACTTGGCTTGACTGGGAAATTAATTTTCAGAACAAACAAATCTTTTGAGTCCACTGTTGGCTTGACCCGGCATAAACATTTCAGTGATCTGCAGACTCCCTACTAAACAGTAGCCTTGCTATCACATATGAATAAGCTATTTACAGGTCCAGTGCTGGTATTCAAGGTAGGCCTACCTAGTTAATAATGAAACAGGCCTACCTGCATATCGGCCTGTTTTGAACCTGTCAGCACCCTGGGCAGGCTGTCCACCAACCGGGAAATCCGGGAATTATGCGTGAATTTTATATTTCTACCTGGAATTTTCAACTTAGGCCTACCGCGATCGTGCATGACAACATTGACATTTCTGTGACCGCTGGAGACGATATGATGTCTACACACTGGCGCGAGGGATGATCAAAATTTTTCTGCGATTGCAGAAGGCAATAATAATTTCCAAACGACCGCTGGATAATGGATATGATAATGATTTTGCTGTTATCGCGCAAGACGGGGATGATATATGCTGAGCGGCGAGGGTTAATCAAAATATTGCCGCTACCGTATAACAAAAGACGATGATAACACACAACCGCAGGACATAATAAACATTTTGCCCCAACGGCAGGAGACGATTACAATGACTTCATGTCCACGGGAGACAATTAAGCCGGGTTTACACGATGCCAGTTGGCGAGACAATTGTCTTTGCCAATTGGCATCACGTGGTTTTGGAATTGTCGTAGGCCAGGCAAGTTGAACGAGAACCTGTTCACACGTGGCAAACACTTGCCCAGGCATTTTACAGTGAACCAGGGTACTACTGCTAAAAGACAAGACAGTGCTATTGGCCTCTACACCGTTTACACGGTGCCAATTGTCACGACAACTGGGTTTTCGAGGGGTGGGGGCCTCACTGGGCCCAGCTCATTGTCCTCAGTCTACTCCCGGAGACAACTGAATTTCGGGACAATTGGCTTGCCAATTGGCCTGAAGTGTTTACACGAAGCCAGTAATTCCAAGCCAGTCAGTTGTCTCCTGGCAATTGTCTCGCCAACTGGCATCGTGTAAACCCGGCTTTATGATGGCTTCACAACCGCAGGAGATGATTACGTTGGCTTCATGACTGCGGGAGACGATGACGATGTCTACAGGACCACGGGAGATACAATAATGATATCTACGTGGCCGCGTGGAATGATCAGAATGTTGTCTCATTCTTGGAAGACAATGATGATCTCCACCATTTTGCCACAACCATGGGAGAAGACTACTATGTCCAAACAACCGCGTAAAAAGATCAGAATTCTGCCTCATTCGCGGTAGATGATGATAATCTTCTCACGACCGCGGGATTTGTTCATATATTGTCGCAATCATGGAAGACGATAATTATGCCTATACAACCACGGGTTATACCGGTAGTCAGAATTTTGCCTCAAATGCAGTCTCGACGATTACAATGTATACACAATCGCAAGGGAATATCATAAGTTTACCACAATCACATTGAAATACAATCACCAATATTTTTTTTTCAAATTGTTTGGGGCCCCCTCAAAAAAACCAATTTTGCCTTGCGTCCTAGACATGTGATTCTGTAAATCGGCCCTGCCAGCATAGGTAGTGGATTCCTATGTCTTTCTTAGTTAAACTTTAATCCCTGTTGGTTCAAAATGGAAACAAGATTTTAGATTTCTTAGACCTATATAGCCTATCTAATACATAGGTTGTCCAATGATTACTTAGTAGACAGCTAGATTACTTACAGAGAACAAGGCATTTTACCTGCATAAAAAAATTTACCTCAATATTCTTTTATTTGCCCAGTTCTGATAGGCCTAAAGACAAAAATAACTTTCAGCAATTGATTACCACACTTATGATCTCACAGTGTCAGCTTCCTTATATATGTATAGGGGCCCCTTCCAAGACAGAGATTAACACGTTCCCTGCTGAGGGCTAGATGCTGGGACGGCGCCAGGAGCTGAATTAGCGCTCGCCGCTTCGTAACATTGCCGCGAATACACCTAATTGCAGTAAAAACAACAGTAGTTATACTGGATAGCAATGTTATGCAATAAAACTGGCTTTGGACGTAGTAAAAGATTCTGATAGATAGCAGTACTACCCAGGGTGTAGTCGGTAAAGTAGTGTCGCTATCTATCAGGAAAGAGGTGGGACAAAGCCCTGTTCTATACAACCCTGGTGGTGATTTTGGGAAACTATATTTTTTATTGTCAGAAAAGTACGTCCCCACGAGCTGCAAAGAAAAATAGGACGTTCTTGACGAGCTGGCTGATCCTTGGAAACGTTAAACAACAATGAACGGTGATGTTCTGGAACGTTCCTAGCTCCTGGCGCCGTGGCCCTGCTGACGTTCCGGAACGTCCGCAGCAGCGAACGTGTTAAGAGAGGGGGGAGGGGGGAGAGAGAGGGAGAGAGAGAGGCCTACTTGGTGAAAGGTGCAATTCTGGTTGTACAAATATAACAATGTATTCCTTATTTTACTCCCCATATTGACCAATTTTTAACTGGTCAAAAACTTAACTATCTAGAAGCTACTGTGAAAATTGATGAACTGATGGTGAAAAATGATATTAGTCTATTTTCAAATGATTATTATGTACCACTGATCTTGCGTACAAAGGAATATTGCAATACTAAGCCAAAATGTTATATTTATTTTTAAGGCTATATCTATTCTAATACATGAAATACAAACTCGGTAAAAGTTTTAAAATAATTCTCAAGTTTTAGTCTGGAGTTTTTAAAATATGGGAGCAGAATTTGTGTGAGTATGGAAATGGTGAATAACACAGCTGTTTGGGAGTGCATGTATAAATTGTAGATGTTTTAGTTGCCTTTTTGATGCTAGCCCTACTCGTGCATGATTTTTGATTTTTCAAAATCAAGTCAATTTAGACCCTTCATTTGACTCTGTTATCAACTAAAAGACTTGTTTGCTTAAAACTGCTATTTTGCCTTGTATTTAGTTTTATGATTGGAAGTAAAAGAAAATATAAGTAGGCCTAATATAAGAATAACAGAACTGAAGAAGTAATTTAAAATTCCATTACTCTTCTTGAGTGATGGCTTGGATTGAAATTAATTAGGCCCAGCTTTAGGCCTACCTATATTGAAATGATAAATTTACTAAAATCAAATTTTTTAGTAGGTGGCTAAGATGAAAACTATAATATCAATACATAATAATTTTAGTTAAACATTGTTATTAACTAAACTTTTTGGCATATTCATTGTCAGAATTGTTTTATGGGTTTATGTCTATTTTGTGTCTCGATAACAACACAGTTTGAAGGTAGGTAGACTAAATGTGGGGGCTAAAAGCAAAAGCCGCAATCTCCACTCCTGAAAATTTTACAGGAGAGCCAAAATACAATTTGAGGTGGTGAAACCAAAGATAGAAAGCTGAAAATTTTTCTCTACCTTCCAATATATTAAAAATGAATATTTAAAATTAATTAGTTCTTAGAACTCATTATTTTAGTAGTTACACAAGCTTTTAGTTTGGACATTGCTAGTTTTGCTTTTAAGATGTGGATTTTGCTGCTTTTGCTTCCAAGTCTTTACTTAATTGGTTTTGTTATGAATATGTTTTTAACATTTATATCTGAAAATACCTATTTTAACACTAAATTGTAATTCAATAGTGTTAACTATAATGTTAGCGTTGCCTTAAATATAATATTAATTAGGTTTGAAGGAAATAATAAATAAAACATAAGGATTTAAAAGTAACTTTATTACATAAAAACACAGAGTTTCTTAGCGTAAAAAAGCGAATGAAGTCCTTCATTTCTTTTAAACTTGACTTTTCCTAAACAATAGTCTCCGGTGATTCTTCGGTCCCTTCACACTCAGGTTCTTCTTCATACTGAATGTCTTCCTGGTCACCATACTTCTCGAACAGGTTTTTGTAATAGTTCAAACTTGGGTGTTCAATCCAATTGGGGCCGTAGTGAATTTCTAGTAGTCTTTTAACATCCGTGAGTTTCACCTTTTTCACCAAACCAACCCTTCCAGTAGAAATCAACTTAGGGTTAATGTCGTCTATTGTAAAATTAGATTTCGTCAGAAATCTGTACTTGCATGTCTCATGATAGTAAAAGTGTTCCCCCTTCACCACGACCTGCTTTTTATTTTTAACAGATCTCTTGAGGAAAAACTTTTTTGTTGGTGCAAACTTGAAATGCCAAGTATTTACTGGCTTAAAAACTTTGTATGCTTCTTCTCGCCAATCTTGGACGTCACAATCGATACCTACATGAACTACAGTGGAAAAATTTGATATGATTTCCACATATTTCTCCGGGTTTTCTACTTGCTGCAGTGACTTAAATTTGCTTTCACAGTGGCCAAAAACCCTATCTGGTGGCATGAATGAATGGCCACGGATTGGAAAAATGATTTCTACACGTTGAATAGTTGATGGGGTTTCCAAAAGCCATTTTGAGCACATAGCAAGGAGGATTTGATTTTTGTTCTGTCCCCCACATCCATCCGCAAAGAGTCGCAGTTTTGTTTTACCGCTGAAATCGGTATTGTTTAGTAAGTGAAAGATACATGACGAGATTTCACTTGATCCTTTCTTGTGCTGATCTTCTGTCCATAAATAGCTGGTACAGTTTTCTTTTGTTAGTTTATCTTTGGAAGTACCTTTTACAGCAGTGAGATTATAAAGATAAACCTGCCGCCTATAGTAAACTTCCTGATCAGGGATTTTGGGTAAGGGTAAATTCTTCTGACAGTCAAACGATATGTTCAATACTTCGGGGTCTTCTTCTTTCAAATGATCATAGAACGCTTTTGCTCTCTTTTTGTGTATTGTTCTTTGAACGAGGAGGTCGTTCTTTTTCTCAGGGTTTTGCTCTAGTTTCATCCTTTCCTTCAGTTCAATGCAAGTTGAACACATGTCCAAACGTGGGCTGCCAAATCCAATGTTGAATTTCCGGTTGAAAATATACCTAAAGTAAGATTCTTTCACTTTCAAATTTTCCTCAACTTTTCCATTGTAAATTTTATGCAGTTTTGCTATGTTAAGCTCAGCAGGTAAATATTTGCGCCCACTTTGTGAACGGCAATAGTGCACGTCACTACAAGTCAAAGAAGAAACAAACTCGATAATTGACTGCCTCTTCTCATTGAACTTTGCTGACACATGATCTCCTCCTCTTGTTTCTTGGGGAATAAACCCATTTTTTTGAAAGTTTGCTGACACAAACTCAACTTGTGATCTTTTTATACAAAGGATTTGTAAAAATGCCTTTTGGCATACAGGAATCCTGTCATCAGCATCATTTTTCCTCACAAAAAACTTTGTATGAAAAGCTTTTGGATTTTTCTCATCGGTTTTAGGCCTTCTCCTTTGTACTGGCTTTGATTGGGTATAACGCAAAATAAAATTGTTTTGTGACTCTCTATCTTTGTTTTTATAAAAAAGGGTAAAAAAATCTAAGCATTGCTTCATTGTTAGTACACTACATCGATAGCTCTTGGTATGGTGACCACACAAAGGACGCTGTGGCAGTTCGTGTGCTTGATATCTGTAATAAAGAAATTAAATAATATTACCGTACGAAAACCATGTTGAAAGTACGGCAACGCTAACATTTCAGTCCTTCGACTAGGATTACAATGCAAGAAATTACAAAAAATAACTAGGCCTACTCTTGGGAGTTATAGGTGCACTAACCTTAATTTCTTAGCGACATTCCTTTTCCACTTTTCAGGACGACACGGCCTTTTACGAGCTTTACTAGGCGACACAGGGGAAATACCGTTTTCTATGTCAGGTTCCATTACAAACTGTTTAAACTTATAATAGTTTAATAAACTTAGTAATTAATTAACTTCTTTTACTTATTCAACACACACATCAACAACACAGACACAAACATCAACAAGAAGCAGCCATTACTCAAGGTGGTCACGTGACTGACCCAAGGACTCTGATTGGTGGAATTGGATTTTGCTGATTTTGCTTCTCAAATGTCAACTATTGAACTTGGATTTTGCAGACTTTGCTTTTAAGGCCACTTTTCAAAGATATAAAATAAATATTTCTGAGCTGATTTTGCTTCCAAGGTTTTCATTTTATAAAAGAAGATGCAGTGGAGCACACAGTGGTACCAATAACTCAATTTCCAAAAAAATTGGACTTTGCAGCTTTTGCTTTCAGCCCCCACAAATAGTGAGTGTGTGTACAAGTTGAAGAAATTGACTTACTCCTTACCACTCATAAGCTTTCAAGAAAGTTTGCTTCATAAGCAATAATCCTTGAATATCTCTAACTATGTTGGTCGATAGATCCAACCACTTGCTGCTCTTAAAATGCTATTGAAGGAAATGAAATATACCTACTCTTGTCAGGTTCAATCTCACAGGGGATGGAAAAATAAATACATTTTGTTTTATGTACATAATTCAAAATTAATACAAATAGTGTCCATTGTTTTTGAAATAACATAACTAAAAAAGTGATTAGATATACTCAATTGTTTCCAACAAATTTTCAAAGGCCTATTTCTTTCAATAGAAGTCATTTTAAAATAAAGTGATCATGATATTTGAGGGATAAATTTGAAACTTTTTCTTTGTTATCAATAAAAAAGTTTTCACGGGGTCCAGTTTTCCAGATTAGTTTGGAATCAGCAAAGAAAATACGTCTAAAACATAGATTAGGTTAGTTCAAAAACCCAGCCAAAGCTGTAAAACTTCAAGAGAAATACCTCACTATAGAACTTATTAACCTTGCGTGTTACTAATTGTAATAGGAAATGTCAACAACCAAAATGTCCCTCAAATAAAATAATCTTTCCATCACCAACAGTAAACTACAAGAAAAGAAGCGTTTGTGGCTAAAGTTCCACTAGTAATAAGGTAAAGGATCTGCCAGATAAGGGCCCTGATGGATTATCAGTTTATTTTTGTAATTACAGATTGACAATTTACCTTTTGTTGTCAACAGTCGTGGAGTAAGGACCGATGCATCATTGGTGCCTCCTATTCGTCAGACAGCCTCCATTTTCAAACAGCCTGTCACGGTATATAAAACGCAAGAAGGGAAGGTGAAAAACGACTTCAAACATGGTCCTCAGGAAAAGCCTAAACAGGTAATTTTGTAATTTATCTACATGAGTGCCAGTGGGTTAGTAGTGTGGCTACCTCGCTGATGCTGTGATGAGCTTCATTGTTGATTGTTGATGATTTATTGTTAGTGAGTCGGTGGCTCAGTCGGTAGCGTCGCGGACTTTGGGCCCAAGGCAGCGATGTCGTGGGTTCGGATCCTGGTCACTGCCACTAAAATTTATCAGTACAGTTCACCTTTGTGTACCGGCTCACTCCTTGCTTTGCTGTAAACGTTCCACGCACAGGCGCTTAGTCTATGTGGACGGGCAAATGCAAGGTTAAAAGAGGCCGCCAACCTCTTTTTTTTTTTTAAAAAAAAGCCACACTTGTCAAATTTTAACTAAACGCCACCTTTCAGTTTAGTTTTTGTAAAAAAAACCTTCACTAAAAAAAACATATTTTTTTTTAAACCATTAAGTTGACACAAAAACTAATAGTCCGTCGGTGTATTTGATTCAGTAATCCGAGATTAGGTAAATAAAATTATTTTAATCTATATTATTTTGGATGATTTTATTTTATAACAACAAGGAAAACCCTTGCTTAAACATACTTGGCTTATGTAAAAGTACTAAATTTAACCCCTAATTGTGGTTTTCCGTAGGGTACCTAGTACGTCACATCATTTCCAATGGTGTGGCTTTGCCTTAAATATCAATATTGTCATGTTCACGTTCATATGAAATTCATATGAAATTGAAATAACCTAAGAAAAACATACACATAATGCAGAGAACAGAAAACATGAGTTTTGCCACAGCTGTTCTGGGAGAAGCGGTTGGAAGGTCTGCGTGCCTGTGATGTGGACGGTCACGAGCTGTGTGCCATGGAGCTGCCGCGCAGTCTGCGAGCTGTCGGTCCTCATGTGACGGAGGAGACTCTGCTGCAGTCGGTGGCGACAGCGCTGCACGTCTCTAGTCAACCTGTCACCGGACAGACTGGCTCACGGACCAACCTAGAGAAGAACCCCGGCGTGTTCATTAACCCTGATCAGCCCCTTGTTCAGGTGAGTCAATAAATAACTTCTTTATCAGCATCGTCGTATGTGTTATTAAATTACCTTAAGTAAAGGTGAGTCAATCTCACAAACTACTTCCAAGTCTCCCCCTTCTGGGGTGTAATTGAATATCTCAATTGGAATATACTGCTCTAGAGGAATTGTTTGAAGATGTTGCCTGCCCAGGTCCATCAGTAACTTTCTCCTTAAGGCTCACTGTAATCCTTACCTACTTTATATAAGAAAAATCTCACTTTAGCACAACAGTGATGTTGTTAATGTTCATATCTACGTTTGTTTGTGTAAAGTCAAAGATAATCCATCTGTGGAATACAAGGTGGTACAAAAAAAACCTGGAAAAAATATTATTTACAAAAAATTTACACTTCAACATTAGCATTTTCAAAGTACTCTCCATTGAAAGCTATGCATTTGTCCCAAAGGTTTTTTCACTTTTCAAAGCAATTTTTGAAGTCATTTTTTGAAACAGCCACCAGCTCCTCACTAGTTTTTTATCTTGATTTCTTTAATGGTGTCAAATTGTTGTCCTTTCATACCTCTTTTCATACATCGAAATAGAAAAAAGTCACACAGAGCCATGCCAAGTGAATAAGATGCATGGGGTAGCACAACCATCTATAGTTTTTAACCAAAAATTGAGCGAACATCGTTGGCTAAAGGCTCTGTGAGCAGGTGCATTGTCATGGTGGAAGAACCAGTCTCCTGTCTGCCACAGATTGGGTCTTTTTTGTCGAATACTGTTGTGCAATCATCCTAAAACTTCCAAATAGAAGGTCTTATTCACGGTCTGACCTGGGGGGACAAACTCTGAGTGAACAATGACTTGGCTTGAAAAAAAATCAACATTGTTTTGATGTTTGATTTGACCTGACAGCATTTTTTGGACAATTGGACGAGGTGACAATTAATTGCGTCTTCCATTGGCATGACTGTGCTATATTTGTGGGTCATTACCACCAGTACAAAGCTGCTGTTTCAAAGATTGTCAGGTTTTCATTCGCCATTCTTTTTGATTGTCATCCAGAGCATGAGGAACAAACTTGGCAGCAACCCTTTTTATTCCTGATTCTTCTTTTAAACTGGCTGAACTGAGCTCCTGAAAGATAATCCACTGATCTTTGCCAATTGTTCAGTTGTCTGTGAACGGTCCTCAAGCTTGAGATCCTGAATTTAATCCACAGTTTCATCATTTCAGGAAGTCCAGGACGAGGTTTATCTAATGGACATGTTGTCATTTGAAACAAGTAATCCACTCATACACTTGAGTCTTTCCCATTAGCTGTTCTCAACATTACAACAGTTACGACAGCAATTTTCCCAAGTAGAAAACTAAACTTCACAGCTACACATTGTTCACTTTTACTTGCCATTTCAAAACAACTATAAACACTTAAAAAGATGGCGACAACTAAAACTGTCACTACAGAAAACAGATGAACACAACCATTTATCTGGACTGCAGCAGCGGCACTGAGTTTACACTCCTAGCAGCTGAAACATGTGCAGGGCAACACTCTGGTTATTTTTGGGTACCTCCTCGTATATTCTCAAAATATGTAATATTTATTCTTCATTTTTTTTATTATTCTATTATTAAAAGGTCATCCCTAACTCTTCATTCTTATTTTTAAATTATGATTGACATTTATGACGTTCTTATATTCTCTGGCAGGCTTTGGCTGTGGGGGATGAAGATATCAAACGACAAGAAGACCGAGTCAATTCCGCAAGAGTGAAGCTACAAGAAGCAATTAAGGCGATGACTGCATAACCACGTTCGTAATTCCATGTTAAGCGTATTATGTGATCAAAGAGACTATACACCCAATGTTTTGTATTTTAGTGTGTAACTTTAACTTTAGTATTATTACTTAACGAAGGTTCACATTGATCTGATGTTTTTAAATAAATAATTTATTTGATTTGCGATTTTTGTCAAATAGTTTATTTTTTATTCCCAAAAATATTAAAAAATTTCTCCTGTTAAAATTTGTTGTGAAAATTGATGAGTATAATAGGTTAATCCAACCAAATAGTTATGAACGCCTAGCATGACTATCGTTGAAGCTCATGAAATTTTAATTACAACAAGGCGTTTGTGATGATAGTGATGGAGGATCGTGTGTGATATTTTTTCATATGAACAACTGTTGCTGACATATATTCAATAACTTAACAGTCCCCACATCAGTGGGATAAAAACATTTGATCAATGAAGACATGGTTTACTTGAAAACATACTAGGCTAATGCTTTAGAAATCAAGTAAGTCTGAAAGGCATAATGTGTACGTTTTTAACCAACACATTGAATTAAAATGATGCCCTACAGTAACAAAGATAAAAACAGGGTTAGAATTTTCCAAATTTCCATTTATCACAATATTAGTTGGATTGACAGTAAAAATAGTAAGCAGATTTAAATTAAAGTCTATTGATTCAATATTGTGAATCTTGATCAAAGATACAAGAAACTGAAATAATAAGTAATCTTAAGAATAAATATTTATTTACAGAAATAATAATTTAAATTAATTTACAATGCAGTAACTGTTAAATCTCTGATCATCAAAGCTGAGTTTATTCCCCAAGATGGCTGCCATTGGCTGCGGGCCTGCCAGAACTTAAGTTTATTCTGAAACATTAAACAAAATTAAATAGTACGACTAGGCTATTAGAGGAATGAATTTCCCTATACATAAGGAGTTATTCTTATGTAACAAGAATTTGAGTTGTAAATGGCTTGTTTAGTGCATATCTAATTTTTTTCACTCAGAATTTAGAACTTCACTTTAATGTCTGCTTATAATATTGGTTTATGATAAAAAAACAATCTCTGTCTTTATTTTATCATGAAGCTCCAAAACAGTAATATATCTGGCCAGGTCTCTAACTAATTTTGGAACAGCATTGATATTTTTTATTAAAATAGCCTCGATTGAAAGCATAGGCCCTAAGTCTGAAGGTAATAACTCAACAAGTTAAGGTTTGGTTAGTTTCTTTATATAGGAAATATTAAATCTTATTAACAAAGATTCTCGAGTGCAGTAAAGGAAGTTTGCACTCGTGTTACACATTATATTTTTCCTACACATTTTTTGGTTAGGTTAAGTCCAAACATTGAACGAAATGGGAAACGCTGCATCAGCTGACCGTAGTTGTTATGTCTTTAAGCTTTAAGTGTTGCCAACTTATTTCCAAGCGTACACGGATTACGTGCATATTAAAAGCCCGCTGTTTTGTGTTGTTTGGTTGGAATACTGGTATGCGCCAAAGTAAAAACTGTGCGCCAAAGTAAGACTAACTAGTTTCTGTACAATACTCTGTGCAAAAAAGCCCACTTTGTCTGGTGACCCTAGGAAAAGGCATTTTCTAAACTCTAAAAATAATAAAAATAATGTATTGTTGAATGCATGCATTGGGTAAAAGTATGAAAACACTCAAGTGGTACTCACCTTTGGTTCAAAATTTCTCCATGGTTTGTTGTCGATTGTGTCAGGAAAATCTTTGTTACCTCCCACATGAACCCCAAATACTAGGTAGAACTGGAAAAATGTATGATGAATGTAAGTTGTGAAGTTTAATTTTATAAATTGTTTTTTCCATTACTGGAACACAGACTTTCTGTTTTCAACAGTAGTTCAATTAGAAATGTAGGCCTACAATGTATCTTGTGAACCCCACAGATAAAAACCTTCTGACTCACACTTACACAGTTAAGGATCCAATTAACCTGTCTGAAATTTCAACTGCTGTATGGTAAATTGAACTGTTATTACTAAATTATTTATATGATTAACATATTACACAGCAAGCTTCCTAAAATCACATTTTTGTCTGGTTGTACCTGCCACTACTTTTTATCAGTACATTTCACCCTTCTTTTGTACCGGCTCACCCCTTCCTTTGCTAATCATACCCCTTGCTTTGATAAAGTCATTTATCATTAAGCTCCTGGGCTATTAATTTTCTCTCCTACAAAGCTAGCTGAGCTATATCTCTTTCAAAAATGGTCCCCAAAGTTTTTTTCTAGTGTTTTTCTTAAAATATGAAATGTGTCTGAGATATTTTTTAGAATCATGATGTATGTTATCTTGATAAACATATTTAGGTTCATACAGTGGTATATCCAGGGGGTTTTAGGAGTTTGAACTCCCCCCTTGACCTTAAAACGTGAAAAAAATTTAAATCTGTTTTATATGTCTCTAAATAGCCTAAAAACGTGAGTTTAAAGGTAGGCTATAATTTTCAACAAATTTCCGTATCCCCCCTAGGGTCATCTTAGTTACACATATGAATGGGTACATAATGATGTACAAAATACCTACCTCTTGATCAAAAGGCGCTGCACTTGGATCTAAACCTTGATCTGCTTGAATACTCCCTATTGTGTCTCCGTCAACTAGAAACTGAATCCTCTCTGTAACCAGAAACATGTGTGGGTTTAGTAAAAGAAATTAAAAGTAAAATTGCATGTTTTATTTAAAACTGAATATGAAGTGGAATTATGTGATATGATGATAGGTTTAGTTTTGTTACTGACTAATACTATAAACTGTTGGATACTGAAGTCAACATCATATCTATGTTAACCAGATAACGCCAATTTTTTATTAAAAAAAGAAAATGATAGTAAGTGTCTTAAATTCTACCTTATTTTTACTTTTCAATCAAAGTAAAAATATTTTTGCTTGTTGGGTTTGTTTGTTTGAGTTTTTTGCCGAAGTAATCTCTACACCTAGAAGCATCGGTCCACCCAATATATTTTGTTGCTGACATAGTTGATGGGATGAGTTGCTATAGCTCAAAATAAGTCGTTCCCCTAATTTAACGTGGTAAAACAACAACATATATTAGTAATTAGGCCTAATATCAGCACAATTTGTTGGTGGCTCACAACTGCGACGATTTTGATTAAAAAACTGGCGACAACTTTTAACTTCGGGATGGAATGTCTAGTTGTATCAATAGTCAAAGCTAATACCAACGGTTTCTTCAAAAAGGACCAATTATTGTACCTCTTAAGTTCAATGATAAATTGATAAACACCATAGAAATTTTTCAGTATAAAACTTAATATACTACACCATATTTTGAATTAGTAAATAAACTGTGTAAAGTAGTTTTGAATTTTGTTGTTGTAAGATTATTATGCATGTTTAAAAGTCTTGAGTTCCGTCAATGCTTGTTTTAAGAAATTTACAGCCTATCCATTAATACAAAAATCTAGTTTTTGTTTATTTGTGAAAAAGATATGGATCAAATTTCACCTGTAGGTTTTGCATTTAAAATTCTTATATATTTAATCTTTGAAATTTGTTCTAGATACTGTAGCTTATGAAATATTCGTGCCTAAAATGATGAAACATAATTAATTTTTAAAACCATACCATATCATGATGGTATATTTTGATGTAGAATGTAGGCATAGTTAAGTAAAGTTTCAAACATGTGAGCATTGAATTTACAAGACCAGCTTTGAAAACAGGGCATTTAGTATCAAATAGGTCATAGATTGTATCAAAAGTCATTATCACTTTAACCTTCTGACCTTATTTTGCTGTTAATCATACAATGAGTTTATTATAGAAAGATTTTCTGGATTGTTTTTAATTGTCTAAAAAAATAAATGAGCAACTGCTAAAATTTTAAATATTATATGCTTGGTAAAGATCATGCTGTGAAAAAGAAGGTTACAAGACAGATTGATGCAAGCTTATCGTAGACCCAACATAAATTTGTTTTCTGTTTTAGAAAAAAATGATTGCCACTATCCATTTTTCAGAGTTTATAAAATACATTGGTGGCAAGAACAACATAACCAAACATTCACTTGTACTATCTTTGTTTGTAAACAGTAGACTCGCCATAGATGTAATAGTAATAGTTCAGGTGGAAGTTGATAGATAAATATTTGCGAGACAAACCTCCAATCAGGCATTTTGCTTACTTTTAACCTATCCTCATCGTGTGTTTTTTTCATAAAACCTTTTTACATGAATAATTTTTTTTTATTTGATGTGGTAAAACTATATAAGATAATCATCGTAAAATCATTGAAAAATTCCTGAGAGAGTCAAGTATTCATAGTACAGTAGTTTACCTGGAGTCCATACCAGCTTGAACCTGTGGTATTGGTCCGACCACATCCCACGTAGTTCTCTGGTAAACGTGACGTCGTCTCCCCTCCTCTGCACACCTGCGTACAACACTCGGTTACCCAGGTCCCTGCCTTGAGTCACGTCCCAGAGACGAGCGTTGCCACGTGACATCGCCATCACTATCTTGGCAGTAGATCCGTCCGTCCAGTTGTACGCTCTGTCCTTGGGCAAAAGCCATAATTCTAAGACAAAAAATATATTCTACAATAATATTTTGAATGATTTATTAATTATTTGTTTAGTGTTAAGTAGAAATATGTTGGGAATGGTAATTATTTTGTTCTATAGTTATACTTCACTACTCAATAGTCATAGAGTACTGGATTGCTAAAATATGCCTTTTGTCCACAATCTTGTTCTGTGTACATGCGGTTTAAGTATATACATTTTATATACCATAGCAGTTTGTGTTTGAGATGCGATTTCAACAAATTTGTTTTAGTTTCAAGTGATTCATAGGAAATATTGCAATTTTAAACTCAATTGACAGCAGTAAATTAATTTAATTGATAAATTTGTTATACAAATGACTGATCGATAGATCAATCACATAATTGACTGACTGTGATTACCTCATAACTGTATCTACTTGATTGAACTAGACAAATGAACGGATCATCAGAGTGATCACATACTGTAAGTGGACTGAAAGAACCACATGTCTGGCTTAGTATGTTAATGATCCACATGAATAACTGTTTAATCGAGTTTAACTGAGTAAAAACAATAAACTGATTAAATGAGTGAACTAAAGGAATTGTTGATTTTTGTATTAAACCACTTGAACGACAAATTGGAGTGATATTAATCTAATAATTATCAAACTAACTGAAAGAACCACTTAACTGTATGAATGATAGGACCACAGCATTATTGATTGATTTAGGGGACGTCATTATAGTGGTTGACTGTATGATCAATATGATATGACTGTGCAATTTGCTCAGATGACTGATGAGTGGATCACGAGAATGAACGATGACTGTGTGATTTATATGAATGACTGAAGACTGGATGATATGATTTACAGAACAGACTGATGACTGTTATTTACTGTGAATGATCACTGAACGAATTACATGAGCGACCCACTGAATCACCCTAGTGCATGCCAGTGTACCTGGTACCACCCAATCACCCTGGGGTAGTTTGGCCGTCACCTCTACGACGCCGTAGCGGAAGGAGAATGACTTCTCAGAGGAGTGTCGTCCGCTGAGTACAGGAGGCAGGATCAAGTAAGAGACAGCACTGGCGGAACACAACTCTGGGTTGTCTGAGGTACATCTGGACACAACATACACGAGTCTGAATCAGTAATTTACCAGAGCACTCTGTTGGTGGTTTAGTTATACGATAGAATAAAAATACCCCCTTAACAGATTTGTCATCCTTATGCATCACTTGAAGACGGTGCCTCAAATCATAAATCAACCCAATGGTAAGAAATAGTATATAACGTCTAACTAGAGCTCAGTGTCACCTACATGAACTAGACATGAAAAAGGAGCTTCACATTTTTATATTGCGACGAAAAGTCTAGTATCAATAGTCAAAGGTTTCAATTCTACAGGAGTATATTAAGTTTTTTTATACTTTCTCCCATTAGCTTGTCAACGACCTTTATCATGGGTAAGCGGTGAAAGTAAATCTATGAATTTATATTTTTATGGACAACTTTATGGAATAACTTTTGAACCATATTTGTTTCAGCAATGGGGGATTGCACTATTTTGTTGTAAGGAAAATAACACATTAATTTTAATCAAACCCGGCTTTTTACCTTAAATCTGAGTTTTTATTATTTTATGGGTTTTTGTGGGAAAATAACATTAGTTATAATAATTTTAACCATATTTTTACAGAAATGGGATATGTACCATTTCGTTCAGAATATGGTATAGGGGGAGAAAGTAATTGTCGAAATGTCAAACTCCATCCATAGTCAAAGGTCCCAAATAAACCAACTAATTAACAAATAAATCAAAATGAAAGCTAAATGTAAATTTCTTTAAAAAATCCCATAGCACGTAAACATTAGGCTATTACCCATATGATCATAAATAATCATTGCATTGGACAAACTATTAAAAACTTTACATACCCCTGAATAGTGAAGTTCTTGGCATTGACAAATGAAGGGCCATATTTAATCTCCAACAGGCCAGGAAAGATTGCAGTATGTGTTCTATTTATCACAATATTTTCACTTGTGAATGTTGTAAATTCTTCTTCCTGTAAGTAAAATTAGATATCAACATGGAGTTTGTAGTAGGTTTATTCATTTTTAAACTATTGGAAAATTTTTAAATTAATTAATTTGAGCTGGGATATATACAAACTATGACATCTGGATGAGAGTAGCCTACTTGTAAAATAAATAACAAAAAGAATCTTCTAAAGGGTGAATTAAAATTAATGTATACCATACCCATACCTAACAATGTAAATTATTTTAAAAATTGTCAAATAGTATATTTCATAACCATAGTAGAAAGGGAGTAATTATTTGAGACCATTAAGTTTAAAGTGCTTGATACTCAAAAATCTTACTGTGATAAACATATGACAAAAACAGGGGATTTCACACTAGTGTACCAAAAAAAATTTAATTGAATGGTTGTTGTCATCTCATAACAATAAACATTGTTGTAATAAAAAATCATTTTCAGTAGACCTTACATTAATTTGCATAGAATTGATTCTAAATTATTTATTATATTTTTCAAACACAAGCTTTAATGGATTCTGTTACAATTCACTAGCATAATCCTTTTAGTTCAAATCAAAACATAATTGTAAAAAGTATATAGCCATGTTATAAAGTTGTTGAGTGGAAACCTAATTTAAGATAAAGATATTATTTTAGAGTAATCTAATGCACAGTGCAGTACACAAATTATACATGATTACCTTACCTCTACCTCTGTTCAATTTATAGATAGATTTATTCTATAACAAAATATACTCCTTTCTACTTTTGCATTTTCCAATATATTTACTCACAGGGCTGAGACCTCCAATTTGTTTGACGCTCCTCATAAAAATGGGACTCTCTTCTCTAAGATATTTCTGGTCCACTTGGGAGTAAGATTTGATGAGTTTTTCTCCCCCACAAGCCTTCCTCCCTCCAGAATATGTGGTCAGGGATAGTCTAGAACATCCCGGAGGAACACTATTGTCTAGGGAAGTCTGTTCTGTAAAATATTCATTGGTTTTAAGTAATTCAATTTTATAAGACAATTTTGAACAAAAATCTGATCAAATCAAATAAATCTTTGTCAGAAATATCAAAGCAGTGTTACAATACCTAGGTCTATGTGCATGGAAAAAAAATTGTAACAGGGGCTTCTACCATGGCTCTAGTACTAAAGTGCAAACATTTTAACACTTAACAATACAACTAGACAGTTATCAATATTTGAGATGAGAACGCCATCTATAGGTGCATTTAACACAAATATTAGCAAAAGATGAGTGTAGAATGGAGTGAGATGATCTGTGTAGCTGAGCTATTATTTCATTAACCAAGATCATTATAAGTTATTCATCACTCTGTATTCAAAAATATCCCATATTACAGCTGAGATCTTCAAAATTCTTCAATTTTCATACACCAAAAACAAATAGTGATCAACTGACTTTTCCTGACATAAAACATTACTTTCGCTACAAGCATTACTTTCGCTACACAAACAATACTTTTACTGACATCAGCAAAGTTACAATCAGCTGAATTTTACACTAAAATAAATTGTACAGCCGTATTGTGTTTATTAGAAAAATTAATAGATTACGAAATATCAGATAATATATTAAGTTTGATGAAGTATTTTCATTATGATAAAAAGTATCGTTCAATACTCATCACGAAAGACCCATTTCGGGGCTCGATAGTGTTTCCCATGTTTGTCTTTGACTCGCATGTAAAACACTATCTCACCCCGAAATGGGTCACTGTCGTGACTAGCAGTGAAATATAAAATATACTATTAACGCCCAATGATCAGGAACAGCTGGGTCCAGTTTCCAGCCATCAGAATGTTCTCAAAATTGATTCGTTAAGCTTTTGATTGCTAGAGCACTCTTATCAATCAACTACCACACTAATTCAAGATAAAGTTAAAATTAGTTAAGAACTAGAGGTGAATTTCCTACTTACGCCCAACCTGGTACTTCCCCTTGTACCCCTTCTCCCAGTCGTCTCCTTCAGCTTCTATCCAGTAGTAGATGACATCTCCTTCCTTCACCTGAATGTCAGGGAAGGTGTATTGCCACCTGGCTCCATATCTCACAATGATTCCTTCGTTCCATTCACCCACCTTCCACCCTTCAAACTCCTTGTTTATGTTGACGTGGAACTTTAACTTGTAGACATTACTGCGGGGGTACGGACCTAAAAAGTGTCACTATTCTGATTATTTCAACTTTAAGAATTAATTTTGAGTGTCAGTTAGTTATTTTAATTGGTCTTTATTCTTAAGGGTTTGATTAAAATGAAATTTGATGTATGTAAAATAAAAAAATTAACATACTTTTTACCTTGTGTCAGGTAAACACCACTGACTTGAAGATAGTCTCGCATTTAAAACTAAATGTGATCAATCAAAAATACAAAGAGAACCCCAAAATTCGTTAAATTTTACAAACTAGATTTTTCATAATATTTGAATGGTTGTATGGTGATTTGGTAAATGCATTGGTGAAGAAACATTAGTTATTTAGCAATCAGAAAGTTACAACAAAATAATAATTTTCAAATATAACACAATTTTTTATATTCAATCCTCTTAAATTTAAACTCAAAGTTTATTCAAAGAATAAATAAAGGTCTTAGTCATTAGCATTCACATATTTAAAGAATTGCTGATATTTTCAAAAATTATCTGAACCAAGTTGTTTTTATATACATTTGACTTTAATTTGTTATTGATTAAAATTAAAACTGTTATTTGGACAAATAACCGATAACATTTACCATTAATAAATTTCCTTGCTAAATTACTGGCTAATTTATGCATACAATTTGAATACTATACCTGGAACAAATATTCCTAACCCCCGTGGCTTGAGAAACTCCAAAATAACTTGATTTTCTACATTGTTGTACCTAGTTTCTGGTAAGTTCCGGTTAACTCTCTGAACTTGTGGCCTCGGAACTTCTACAACTCTGATGATTTGTGGGATGACAGGCAAAACACAAAGGCACAAAACAAAAGCAAGACCTAAACGTAACATATCACAAGTCAGATACAAGGTTTGCTCTAGACTGTTGTGTTTCCAATAGAAAATATAATATCCCTCTCTTTATATTAAAAATCCCATTTTATCCCTCAGTTTGACATTGAATATATTTCTTTATCCCATGATTTCATGATAATTACCTACATTCTTTTATTGTATCTAATGACCGAATGGGTTCAGTGATAACTTTACTAACAAATCAGGTACCTATTATACCAATATTATTAGTCATTCTTCGCAACCAGGAGTTATTCATACTACAATAACTTTACTTTTTTTGCAATTTTCGTTTGTCTAATAATTGTTTCTTTATTATTAGTGGAAAGTCTGCAACCTTATTGAAAACCCGACGTCGATTTCATAGAGACCATTTTATCAACGAGTTTTCATAGTCAAGGTATACGATTATACGGCTTATTGAATTTGGACAATGCAAGTGGGCTTATAATACTATTAAAAAAGCTTTTTGAATGTATACATTGCTGGTTTAAGTTTGAACGTGCCGATGTCGACTACATTTTTTATATTTTTGAGGTATTGTTTAAACAATGCACTTAACTCCTAAGTCCTATCAGACGATTAGTATAAAGCAATATTTTTTTTTCATTCAGTAAAAGTAGTTTTAGGGGATATTAAATAACAGTAGATAATCGGTAAACAACAAACCGTATCCTTCATATGCGGAATGTCAAACGGTTACCTCCCGCTATCTCCGCGTCCCCATATCTCCGTGTACCGCTATCTCCGAATTTCAGAGTGACCCCTATAATCCTCGGTTACTTCCTGCTTTTAGACTTTCCAAACCTAACCTAACCTAACTTAACTTAACTTAACTTAACCTAACCTAACCTAACCTAACCTAACCTAACCTAACCTGACCTAACCTAACCTAACCCACGGGTTAAATTTTCATCAAATCTTCCATCCACGGGGCTTCGCAGCCGTGGATGCAATGACAGCTAACAACGCAGTCAGTGACTGGATTATAAGGGTCACTCAAGAATTCGGAGATAGCGGGACAGATCTGGGTTCGGAGATATCGGAACGCGGAGATAGTGGGAGCACACGTGTCAAACACCATATTGTGTTCAGCTTATTCATAAGGATAATTAAACCTTAGCCTTGGAGGATTATATTTAATTTATAGCCTAAAACAAAGAAACACATCTTCCATACCTATCTTCCACTATTGCTTAACAACGCCATAGTTGCGTAACAAGTAGCCTAAATTAAAATTCAAAGTATCCCTTTCTATCTCTCAAAATATCCCACCGTGGGATAAAATCCCACACGGATTTTAACTAATTTAATCAAACCGGATACGAGATGGGTTTTCGCGCATGCGCAGAAGATGGCAATAAACAACAAGGAACCGGTTGGATATCTAATGGCAGTCATTATACACTATCGTTTATCTATGACCTCGGATGAGCAATTCCGAAAACTGATTGAATTCTGCTTGATTACTAAGTTATTTATTACATGTTTGGTCGAAGGTACCGAGAATCGTGACTTTAAGTGTGAATTGGTTAAACAATAGCTTGAACTATTGATTTTAAATAGTGAACGTAGACTCCTCATCCTATTGTAAGATTTGAAGCATTTTTTTCTGTATCATGTTGGTAGCATTTAGATAGTGCTGTCGACTATTTATTTTTTTTATTTTAGGGTACATTTGATAATTTGTGCTGTAATGTTTGGTTATACAAGAGACAGGTTTGATAGTTTTATCTGGTGAAAATAGATTTGGAAATACATTGAACAAGAAGAAACAAGTCATATACCAAAAACGTCCGCCACACGCTCGGTGGAGCTCAAATTAAAATTACTTTTATTGTAAGCCCTGATTAAGGAAACAAAATTATGTGGATGAGGCCAAGTATACGGAAATGACCCCGAGTAAGTATATTTTGAACCAACTTTAAAAATGGTATAAACTTGAATTATTTTTCACCACACTACGATGTTTTTAGCCGTTTTACAAACGCTTATTGGACGTGGAAAGCTACGTATTGCTGTCTATGCCAGCTGTCATCGTAATTCGTGGACCGAGCAGGGTTTTACATCCCTAGGGCCGAAAATCAGCTGCCTGCTTACTTTCTTAAAACATGCGTATTAAATACACAATCAGTATCCATAGCATTGCAGTAGAACTGTTTTATTGTCACCGCTGCCTAGCAACTATTTATTATTATTTTTGCTGATTCCTCAAATTTCTTCGCATAATCTGAAAGTTGTAGTTGTGTTAGTGTCCATTATTATTGTAGTAAATATTGGTAATAGGGTATAGTGGGGTGAAAAATAGCGTTCGTACCACGGGCCAAAATGGTTTTGCAGCTCGATCGTTTCAAGTTCTTGACTTCGTCTCGAACTTAAAAACTATCTAGAGCCGGCCAAACCTCATTTTCAGCCCTAGGTACGAAATATACTGTTTCGGAAATAGCAATAAACACACTTCACTTAAATTCACATTATTGCACGTCGATAATGCGTTTTGCATCACTAGCATTATCGACGTATTTTTTTTAAATTGAAAGAACCTCACATAACTAACCAAGACTTAATTCTATTTTAATTTTACAATCTCTATTTTTTTAGTTTCTCATTTAAATAATTGTGGAAGCACACAAAAGAGAAATATAATTGTGTAAACTGGGGTTTACTTGTTTAAACGTGGAATAAATCAACAGACCACGAGTTAACCTTCAATTTATTCTCTCGCATCGTTACCCTTGTAGCAATTCATTTTATCCCATTGTTTCTTATTTTTATGTCTGCATTATTTTGGAAACATAGTGAATTAATTAATAACGAAGGAGATTATTGGCACAATATTTTAACGATTTTTGTTAATAATTTAAAATGTTATGCTAGTATTTTCTGCCGTGTTTTACCCTAAAACATTGACGAAATCTATGTTAACCATTGTCCTCATATGCGCGACTGTCCCTAAACTGTTTCCTTGGTGTGCGCACTCCAATTTAAAACAATGTTGAACATTTTAGTCGGGCAACTGTTGCGCGACTCAAAATCGCCTGTGTGCGCCTGGCCTAAGACTAGAGTGCCTGGGGACCGAGCGACGTGAAAATTGCGTCAATACTTCGTGGTATTAAGTTTTGGTAGGAGAGAGTCAAGTAAAATAATCAGTCTGAACTATTTTCACCTATATTGAGCAATCTTCAGTGTAATCTTTGCTCAATAGTAACAAGTGATGTTTTTCCCTTTGTACTGTATTTTGTAATTTGCTAGTAATACTGTGGATGGCTTGTGTCACATGTTACACGTCTTTTGTTTACTTTTCCTTGTTATTTTCCAACATGGGTTACTACTTGGCAAGCCGTAAGGCCAATGTTACACATATTTGACTTTAAATTTTATTTTTTACGTAATTATATTTTTGCTGGCCGTTTTAACTGCAGTAAACACGTTTTTAGGCTAGAAATAAATTATTTACGACATTTGGAAGGCAATTGTCGAAGCCGTTTACGAGATCTTCAAGCATCTACATACAAGCATACATTCAAGCAAACATTGTATAGGATAGAATAGGTTACACACAACCCTAAAACACAAAATACGGATTTTAATATGATTTCTTAAACGATGGTTGTTCAATTATTAATACCCCCGCCGCAGCAAACCTGCAGACTAAGCGAATTTCCATTTGACTGATTGGATTTACACTGAAATGTCTACTTAAAAATATAACATTTATTCTTGATTTAAATAGAATTAGTTTAACAAGTACTTAGGTTTGCTGCATCAGGGAGGGTAAAACTGTTTTTTTTTTGTAAAATGTGAATAGTTAGTAAGAAATAAAAACATTTTCCAAATTTGATCAAAATATGTTCACAAACAAGCAAACTGCAACAGTTTACTTATTCTCCATAAGAATAACATGGGAATTTTAAATTTACAATTTTTTGGAATTTTCTCCGTAACCATTAGGCGCATAATACCCCCGCCGCAGCAAACCTGCAGACTTAGCGAATTTCCATTTGCCTGATTGGATTTAAACTAAAATGTCTCCTTAAAAATATCACATTTATTCCCTATTTAAACAGAATTAGTTTAATGAGTACCTACTTAGGTTTGCTGCAAAAGGGAGGGTAAAAAAGTTTTTTTTATGTAAAATATTAAAAGGTACTGCGGTTTAGTAAGAAATTCATGTATTTTCCAAATTTGATCAAAATATGTTCATAAACAAGCAAACTACAACAGTTGACTTATTCTCCATAAGACTAACATGGGAATTTTAAAATTACAATTTTTTTGAATTTTCTCCGTAACAATTAGGCGCGTAATAACGCTTCAATATACTAAATTATTTGTTTTTTTAAGCTCTACAAAATGGTTTAAAAAGAAATTGTGAAATTTTGTGTTTTTAGGGCCAAAAATGGGAAAAACCTATTTTTACCTCATAAAACCCCCCATAAACCGACAATAGTGTGTTCCCATAGTCCGATCATGCTGGTTCGCGAACTCATTCAAGTTTATCCCGCCTTACACCTTCAAACCAAATTTTACCAAAATCGGACAAAAATTACTCAAGTTATCGTGCGGATGGACATATATATATATATATAGAGATATATAAAAATTTGAACGAATGGTGTTTTTGGCCTCTGGGGACATCAAAATGAAAAAGTAAATCGGTCCCGGGCTTAGGTCTTACCATGAGACCTACGGTAATAGCTACTTCCCTATAGGGAAATTCGCTAATAACGCTTCAATATACTAAATTATTTGTTTTTTTAAGCTCTACAAAATGGTTTGGAAAGAAATTGCTAAATTTTATGTTTTTTGGGTCAAAAATGGGAAAAACCTATTTTTACCCCATAAAACCCCCCGTAAACCCCCTTTCCCATGGTCCGACCATGCTGGATCGCGAACTCGTTCGAATAAACGTACGTTTACACGTTTGTACCAAATTTCATCAAAATCGGATCATTTTTGCTCGAGTTATCGTGCTGACGGACATATATATATATATAAATATATAAATATATAAATATATGTTCATAA